ATGGAGAGTGTCCAGAGGAGGGCCACTCGCATGATCGGGGGCAGCAGGGTGGTCCCTATGAGGAGAGGCTACAAGACCTGAACCTGTTCAGCCTCCACAAAAGGAGGCTGAGAGAGGATCTGGTGGTCACCTACAAACTGGCCAAGGGGGACCAGCAGGCAATGGGGGAGTCCCTGTTCCCCCAAGCACTACCAGGAGTTACAAGGAATAACGGCCATAAGCTGACTGAGAGTAGGTTCAGGCTAGACATCAGGAGGCACTACTTCACAGTCAGGGCAGCTAGGAGCTGGAACCAACTTCCTAGGGAAGTGGTGCTCTCCCCTACTCTGAGGGTCTTCAAAAGGAGGCTAGACGGTCACCTAGCCGGGGTTGTTTGATCCCAGCATTCCTTCCTGCCATGGCAGGGGGTCGGACTTGACTTGCTCAGGTCCCTTCAGACCCTACCAACTACAGAACTGATTCTCTTGCTAGGAGCAGAGCCAGAGGTTCCTCACTAGAGGGTCTTGCTCATACACTCAGGGTCAGACTGATCAGCATATTTGGGGTCAGGAAGGAATTTTACCCTATGGTGAGATTGATATGAACTGTGGGGGGTTTTGCCTTTCTTTGTAGTGGAGGGCATAGTCCTCTATCTGGGACCTTTTGAGCATATATTAACAACATTTTATAGAAGCAGGACGTTGGCTGCCATGGTTCCCCTGCTTCACACCTGTGGCAGGTTACAGTCTGTGTTGTGTCAGGGCTGAGGGTAGTCTTACGCTGAGTTTATATTATAGCTGTATGGGATGTTTTCAATAGGGATGATCCTGCCTCAGGCAGGGGGTTGGATTAGGTGACCTCTGGAGTTCCTTCCAGTCCTGTTTCTCTAGGACTCTGGCTCCTCTCATGGCTAAATAAAGAGAACCTGAAGGCTGCTGATTAATCAGCTCCATTACTGAGTGTGGTTGGTGAGCTACACTGCCTCCTGTATCCTTCAGTTTAAGGGAGACATTTCTCTTCCCAATGAAGTTCCCAAGTGTTTAGGAGACCTTTATTCCAGTTCTGGTTACTGAATGTATGTCACTTACTTTTAAACTATCAGCAGTAAAAGTAGATATATTTTAGGGTGGGGTAAAGGGAGTATGGGAATTCATTAAGCATCATTAGTGACTTTGAAAACAGGAATTTGACAGGTTATATACCTTTAAAAATAACTTTCCCCCAGTTTAAACTTATTAGAAATAAATTGAGCTTTTAAAGATTTGCAGAGTTTTTGTTCAGATAAATATAGTGACTGTGACAGGTGTTCTTGACAGCTCAAGAAAATGAACTCCTCTTTTTATCCACAGCATGAGCAGTAGTTTAAGGCCATTGTGTACTTGCTGTGCCAGTGTGCCCTCACTCTCGTTCGCTTGCTCTCTCTCTCTCAGTTCATTATCAGCCTTTTGCCTATTCAGTAAATCCCTGATCCTGCAAATACTTGTGCACAATTGGTTCATAGAGTGATACAAAAGTAGGGCTGAAAGGGACCTCCAGAGGTCACCTAGTCCAACCCTTCACCAGAGGCAGGATCATCTGTATCCAAACCATCCTATACAAATCTAATTTATCTGTAAAAATACAGTCAGTCGAGCCTGACAAAAACAGAAGGCATAACCCATAACATGCCACTGTCCTGCTCTTTTGAGTGTTGTCAAAAACACATTTGAGAGGGTCCCAGAATAAGGGCCATGCCCACAGCTGCAGAGGAAGGCACAAATCCCCACAGTTTGTACCATTTGGACTATGGGGTAAAATTTCTTTCTGACTCCAAAATGTGACTATTGGCCTGACTGAGTGGACACCTGAGTGAGGTCCAGAAAACAGAAGTTTTCCATCAGTACCATCTCAAAACTTAGATAATTTTATCTCCTTGAAGAATGCCTCATCCACCTGTTCTGTCTGCCTTTGAGGCCTGTAATAAATCCACACCATTATATTGGTGCTGTATCTTTTCACCTTTTATCTTCACCCAAATACATTCTGATCTGCTATACTTTTCCTCATGAACCAAGGAACAACGGTATGCTTCTTTGACATACAAAGTGACACTATCCCCTTTTCAGCTCTCTCCTTCTGAAACCAAGTGTAGCCCTTAACGTTGGCATTACAGTCATAAGAGCTATCCCACCAGGTCCCTGCAATACCAATCACATCATCATAGTTCTTTTTACAGACTGTGACTTCCAGCTTATCTTGTTCACTCCCTAATCTTGTTTCATTTATTTATATACATTAGATGTATTTTGCACTCCAACCTACTCACTTTCCTTTTCCATCACTTGTTGCTGTCCTTTGGCTTACTCAGCTTTTCCCGTAGTTTCATAGACATTAGGGCTGGAAGGGACTTCAGAAGATCATTGAGTCCAGCCCCTCACCGAAAGGGCAGGAAATCAGCTGGGGTCACAGGATCCCAGCAAGATAAGTGTCTGATTTGCTCTTCAAGGTATGAACTTGCTCTTGAAGGTGTAAAATAGTTAAGCTGCTTTTTCTGGTCCTTTCCCCTTGAGATGGTTTGCTCTGTTGCATAAGGGTTTTGTTTACCATTGCTTGTGAAAACTAGTTTAAAGCTCTCCTTACTAGGCTGTCCAGATGATGCCCAAAGCTTCTCAGTTCTGGTTAGATGTATCCTGTCTCTTGATAGCAGTCCCCCTCCCCAGAACATCCATTATCAAAAAATCCAAAGGCTTCACATTGTCACTACCATCTCACCTATGTATTTGCTAGGAGCGCACTGATACAGATTTTTGGGGCTGATACCGAGAACCAATATTTAAGGTGGCATATCAGCTGATACTGATCCGATTTCCAATACCAGCCCAGCAGCTTGAAGAGCTGTGTGCACTTGGTAAGTCAGGTGTGGTGGAAGGGGTGGGGGGAGGGAAGAGGCAGATCAAGGTCCCCACAGTGAGGGAGGAGTGGGACTGGGGCTGGGGCAGGTACCATGGTGGACAAGAAGCTGAATAAGCCAACAGTGTGCCCTTATTGTGAAGAAGGTTAAAAGCATACTAGGCTACATTAGCAGGAGTCTTGCTATAAGATTGAGGGAAGTGATTATTCCCCTCTGTCTGGCACTGGGAGGCCACATCTGGAGAACTGTGTGTAGTTTTGAGCCCTCCTGTATAGAAGGATGTGGACAAATAAGAGAGAGTCCAGCAGAGGGCAGTAAAAATGGTTAGAGGGCCAGGGAACAGGACTTACGAGAAGAGGCTGAGGGAACTGGGTTTATGTAGTCTGGAGAAGAGAAGACTGAGGGGGGATTTCATAACAGCCTTCAACTACCTAAAGGGTGGTTCCAAAGAGGATGGAGCTAGACTGTTTTCACTGGTGATAGATGATAGAACAAGGAACAGTGGTCTCGAGTTGCAGCAAGGGAAGTTTAGGTGAGATATTAGGAAAAAGTTTCTTATTAGGAAGATAGTAAAACACTGGTGTAGGTTAGCTAGAGAGGTAGTAGCAGTGGCGACACATAGGAGGTGCACGAGGGTGCATGTGCACCCCCTGAGACTTGGGCATGGCCCTGTTTGAGTGGGGGGTTGGACTAAATGACCTGAGGTCCCTCCAACCCTAACTTTCTATGATTCAATGAAAGCATGTACTGTTCAGTAGAGAAATGTATAGAAGACTGAATTGTAATTTAATGTGAAGCCAGATCAGATTTGATGCAACATGTCTTGAGAACATCTCTGCCAGCATTAATTCCAGTTAATTCCTTGAATGTTCTCTTGATTTTTTTTTTTTTTTTT